CTCGTGAACTACATTGAGGGCGCATGCGCGCCCGATGACGTGCAGTGATAGCCGCCGAACGCACCGCGCATAGGATTGCCCGTATTTCTACCAGCTACATTTGGATGGGGGCCCGCGGTCCACGCAACAGCTTCATCTTAACGCAATATCTTTGTTGGCTCGGTTTGGGGGGCTCGTCAATTCGCAGCGTTGTCGCGCAATCCCGCCGGTAATTGCGCCGCGCCGGCGCAGGTCTGCCTGGCCCCCTCGCGCTGCCGCCGCCCCGCGCGACGCCCGACATTTCAGGGCGGCGGGGGGGTCGCGCGTTGAATTGCGCCAGTTTGCCGCGTGGATTTTGAGTGCAGTGTTCTTGCGCTATTCTCAAAGTAGCGCAACGACCGACGAGAGGATGGCGGGCGCGCGGTTATCTGCAGGGACACGGTGACCGCGGACATTCCGTGAAGCACGATGGCGTTTATGGCGGATTTCGCGAAGCACGCGACATCTGCGGGGACGTGGTGAACGCGGTGTTATCGCCGGGCCCTGCGCGCGCATCTCAGATGGTGCAAACGCTTGCGGGGAGATGCAGGGCTTGGGAGATTTCCAATTGCTTTTCCATGCTGTGATAACCGTTAGCATGTCCTTGGGCCATACTCCTGGCGCGGATTAAAGTGCCGTGACGGCCAATCCCACTTGGCGCGATATCAACAATAACAACTTGCAACGCGGCGACGCAACCAGCAACTTGCCCGATTTGGTCTCCGGAGTTTCGCGCGAAATTCCGCATTATACTCCGCGTTTTGACTGTCGACCACACTCTCGGTAGGATGCTGGCGTGCACGTGCGTAATCGAATTTTACCTCCACGGACTGCCACGTTGCCACATCCTACTCATAGTGCGCCCTGAAGATAAACCCATGACGCCTAGGCAAGTTCACAGAGTTGTAAGCGCAGGCGTGCCATGTCTCACCGCCCAGACAAAGCTCTACGAACTCGCATATAAACGCATGGTTCATGGACCCACTGGGGCATCGAATTTGCATTGCCCGTTTATGGGGAGCGGCAAATGCACCAAACACTACCCAAAACAATGGCGCGACAACATTGAAATCAACGTGAACGGATACCCCGCCCACGGGCGACGGCAATACAACCCCCCCCGCACTGTCAAGAACGGGCCTTTTGACGCACGGAACGTGGTCCAACGCAACCTCCTCTCGCGACGTGGCCCACGTAATGCTGATGATCATGAGCAAGACCATGGTGATGATGAAAATGACCATGCTGTTGCTGCTGATGATGCTTACGACGATGGTGATGATGATGAGGACTGCTTATGTACGGATGACTTTGCTGCTGTTGTTGCTGCTGATGGTGATGGTGATGATGGGGACGACGACGATGATGATGATGCTGATGATGGCGACCGGGTTGGTGATGACGGTGACAGCGACGAGGGCAATTATGATGACGGCTCGGAGGGATATAAGGATGGCAATGCGCATGATGTGGACAAACAAAGGGGCAACGATGCCGATGGTACTGCCGATGTCGATGACGATGTTGCACAAAATGACGTCGCCGATGACGACGATGATGCTGATGATGCCGATTGTGATGAGCTTGATGATGCTAAGTACTACGATGGTGACGGTGGTTCAGATGATGACGATCTGGAGAATCTCGATGACGACGATGTCGACGGTAATGGCAACGACGACGACGATGTCGATGATGAGTGTGATGCTGTTGCTTATTCTAATGCTTATGGTGATGATTATAATGACATGATTGTGATGATATTGATGATGATGCCGATGACGGCGACGACTACGATGACGGTGGCGCCGCCGCATTTTTTTCGGGATAGTTACGTCTACTTCCAAGATGGCTTAGGATAGCGCTCGCGCGATAGCGATAACGATGACGACGGTGGTGACGATTATGACCAGTGTTGATGATGATGACGACGACCACGGACGGCCGCCCGCAGTAAGAACGCGATATGTCCGCTAGATTATTGCAGGGCCCCAAGAGGAACGCATCGACCCAGTCCTGTGGATGAGCGCACATGTTCAGCATGTTCGTCTTATCGGGCCCCATTCTTTCCAGGGCGGCCCAAAACGCCCCCGAGATCTCTCTTGGTGAACTTGGGCCACTTCGCTGGATGCCTTCGCCGTCAGGGTAACGACTGGCGTCGTCCCAGCGGCGGAGCCCGATCGACTTCGATGATTTCGACAACGAGCTCGGAAGGGGTCGGCGCTGTGGAGGTTGTGGGGTGTGGCAGCAGCCAGGTCTACTCACCAGGTTAGCCATGTCGAGGAGGCCGCGCCCACTCGTAGGGTAACAGGCGTGACCAGCCCGCGTCCACTAAGGAGGCCTGCATTGGGGAAATGGGTCCCAGGACCCTGAGCCACCTCTTGTTGCCCAGGTTCACGGTCTCGGCGTACAGGAATCTCCAAGCCCCGGTGATGCGCTTGTGGTACTACGGATGCCCGGGCCAGAAGCGAAACCACTCGATGACGGCATAAGATATGCCTCCTGAGCTCGATCGCGGGGCCCTTGTCGCCCAGGAGCGCGGCTGGCGAGTTAGTGAGGCAACGTCCAGGAACGCGTCCAGCAATCGTGTGCGCAGCCTGTTTGCGCTGCTGTAGGACCGCCGACGGCGAGATGCCCATGATCTGGTTGCCGTAGGTGCTCATGGGCCGCGACCCCGTAGTCCTGAGGCCCTTAGCAATCTTGGCTAGGGAAGCGTGCCTGCGCATCTTACTCGCGAGGCGGATGGTCTTGCGCTTCGCTTTCCGCCTTCGCCGTGATCATCCTCTGTCCCCCTGCGGTGTCGATGCCCAGGCCGACGGCGGAGTTGGCGACCTTGATCTTGTAGCCCTCCGCCCTGAGCGCCACGTGGACGGCGAGCGCGATGCTCGGGCTGGAGGCGATGACCGCGGTCTTCGGGGAGGCCTCGATGTCTCCGTCGGCCATGCCGTCGCAGAGCACGGCACCGACGCCCGCCGGGCCCCTGATGACTTGCTCGGGCGCCCCCTCTGTGCGCGCCATGACGTCGTCGACGGAGGTCCACGAGCCCGCGTGCATGCGTAGTTGCTGTGGGCTCGCAGCAGGATGGGCCCAGGACAGACCTTGGTCAGTCTGCCTCCACGAGCGCTGCGGGCTACTGTGGGGTGCTGCGGGTCGATGACGTCGCTGACCCACCCGTGCATCCTCCGGTCCCGCGGGGCCGCGTGGGGCTGCACCTCCAACGCGACCATGACCGCGGGAACACCCTCCAGCACGGCCGCCTCCAAGAGCCTCGTGGAATTGACGGGGTCGAGAACTTCTCCGCGTCCACGATGAGCGTCGCGTAGGCGACTCGGGGCGTGGCCGCGGTCTTGTCGAGGAGGGAGGACCCTTATCAGCGCAGCGCGGAGTCCACCGGAACGCTTGATTGCTGTGTCCCAGAGCTCTTCGAGCTAGCGGGACCATTGGTGCGTGGTGAGAGCGCAAATCCTGCTCCATACCTTGGGGACGGTAGGGGGCATCCCCAAGGCGTGCTCACTGCCAGCAGCCTTGGGCGCCATCGCACCCACTGTGGCGCACATCTTCTGTGGCCAGAGCGCCTCCTCCTCGATCTTGTTGTAGAGGTCGGCGAGGCCCTGCCCTGAATGCCGACACTCGGGCGCCGTTGGACGTCGATGGGGCCGATATTGTCGACGCCCTTCGCCTTCTTGGGGTTGGCCACGCTCACGATGGAGAGGATGTGCTGCGCCTCTATGGGCGGGAGCGGGCCGTCCTTGGCGATGTTGTGGATCTTCTCGCGAGCTCGTCCTCGGAGTAGGAGTCGGTTTTCCAGACGTCCCTCCACCCCACGTGTCCGCCGCCGCGTTCATGATGAGATAGGGGTCGCCGCAGGTGTTGTTTTGTCACGTTTGAGCTCTAGCTTCTGCGGATTGGGGTCGACGACGGTGCGGTGGAGCTGGCCCAGTGCGTTCTTCACGCGGTCTTGGTCCAGTCGAGATAGCGCTTGCGTGCTCTTCCCGCCGCCCTGCCCATGGCCATGTGCGCCCACCGCTGGGTTGTGGCGTATAGGTGGTGCAGGTTGTCGTCGTCGTCGTCGTCGTCGTCGCAGAAGTCGAGGGCGACAATCTGAACCCCACTCGCCTATCTTCGAAGGGTCGATCTTGGAGCCGAATGGTCCGCGGTGAACTCGGGGCTCTCGAGTTCGTCGATCTTGAAGTTGATGTGTTTGCGTATGTTGGCCTGCGCCTTGTGGTCCTTGTCGTTGTTGACGAGGGCCGTATAGCGCGTGATAAGGGATGAGAAATGCTGCCACCATGCTGCCTCTGAGTCTTCGAGGTGAGTCCTCCCAGGGGTTGCCTTCATCGTCTGGGTGACCGTCCTGTGCCTTGGGGCGCGGCCCTGGTAGCGGCCACGTTCATCCGCCGGAGTGCTGAGCGTCGCAAGGATGGCAACCGCCATGGCGGCCACCCGCTCTGTGCAGCTGGTGTTGATCTCGGCAGGTCTTGGGCGGCCTCTGCTCGCGGAAGGTGTGCCCCCGGCCCTGCTCCGTGCCCACTTGTCGCCGTGGGCTGCCGCCTGGAACCACACGGGCTCCGCGACCATGAATGGGGGTGTCGCCCTCCACGGCTCCGCTGTTCTGGTCGCTGTTGAGCTGGTCGAACTCGTCCCAGTGATCAGGTAGGCATTCACGACGTGATTCTAGGGCCTGGGATATTTGGCCTTCGACCTCTTGCTGTTGGGGTCGGCGTTCCTCTTTCGCCTCGCACGTACTGGGAGGGCCTTGGGGACATTGATAGATTTATACTGCCAAGAGGGTAGAGGAGGAGGAGGAGGAGGAGGAGGAGGAGGAGGAGGAGGAGGAGGAGGAGGAGGAAGAGGAGGAGGAGCAGGAAGAGGAGGAGAGGAGGAGGACCAGGGAGGAGGACAGGAGGAGGAGGGGGAGGAGGAGCAGGAGGACGACGAGAAGGACTTGGATGGCGGTGACGACGCCCGTTACCGTCCCCGAGGAGCGCCGCCACGGCGCCCAGCGTCGTGGGCAGCGCCCGGGGCATGGCGGCGCCGCCGGGGTGCTTCGAACGGCGGCCAGCGGGCGCGGCGGAGCCCAGCCGCCGGGAGGGCAGGGCCGTCGCTGTCGTCGTCGCCGTCGTTGTGGCAGAGGTTTTCGCCGCCGTCGCTGGGATCCGGCCCCTGCACGGACCGCGGCAGCTGGTGGGGGAATGGTCGGACGGGGCTAGGACGAGTGCGAATCCGTTCCAGAGCGTTCCGGCACGCTCCAGGAGCGTTCCGGAGCGCTCTGAGAAGGCCGCGATGCCCGACACGTCTTCCCGAGCCGCCGGATCTCAGAGATGATCGTTTTTTATTATTATGATTATGATTGTTTTTGTTTTTTGTTTACCCGATTTCATCGTCGTCTTGGTTTCGTCGAAGGGCGAGCGAGTGAGTGCCACAATCTTCGACGATCTGGCGTCGTGGCCTCGGTTTTGGGGACTCTTGGGCCTGGCCCTCGGGCCCTGGGGCCATCAGCAACGGATCCGGGGCGAGAAGCTCTGCTCCCCTGGGGAGGGTCGGGAGCCTCTGGGGCAGCGCATGGAGGAGCTCGCGTCGTCGGTCGCCGCCGCCGCCGTCGGCGAGGCCTCTTTGTCAAGGCCGCCCGATCGGGTCGGCTTAGATTTAGGTCGGGCGTGTCCCCCTACAGGGGGATTTTCGACGAAAAATAAGACATACCCCAAAAATGCCCCCAAAAGGTCAAAAAATATTTAAAAATAGTCCCCAGACTATTTTTGGACTATTTTTTGAATATTTTTTGGGTATTTCTTATTTTTCGTCGACAATCCCCCTGTAGGGGGACAGGCCCGACCTAAGCTTAGATGGGGTCGGTGGATCGCGCTGCATCGCTGAAGCAGACGCGAGGCATCGGCGCTGCTGGGCGATCCGCCGACCCCCTCTGCTCCGACCCCACATCTGGGCGGCCTCCACTCTGGATCCTCGTTTTGGGCCCCAGGATGAGAGATTGGCCTCAAGATTGATTTGGGCCCCAGGATGAAAGATTGGGCCCCAGGATAAAAGATTGGGCCTCCACTCTGGATCCTTGTTTTGGGCCCCAGGATGGACGCCTGGAGGAGTTTCGGGACTCATTTGGGTGGATTTCGGTGCCGCCGCCCCTAGCCTCGTCGTCGCCGTCGTCGTCGCCGTCGTCGTCGTCGTCGTCGTCGTCGTCGTCGTCGTCGTCGTCCTCGTCCTCGTCTCGTCGTCCTCGTCGTCCTCGTCGTCCTCGTCGTCCTCGTCCTCGTCCTTATCCTCGGCCTCATCCTCGTCCTCGTCCTCGTCTTCGTCAGCGGCGGCGGCGTCGGCGTCGGCGTCGTCGTCGTCGTCGTCCGTCGGCGTCGGCGGCGGCGGCGGCGTTGGCGTTCTCATCGTCTTCGTCGCTGGCGTCGGTGTCGTCGTCGTCGTCGTCGTCGTCGTCGTCGTCGTCTTCGGCGTCGACGCCAGTATCGGCATCCTCGTCGTCGGCGTCGTCGTCGTCGTCGTTGCGTCGTCGTCGTCGTCTTCGTCGTCGTCGTCGGTGTCGTCGTCGTCGTCTTCGTCGTCGTCGTCGTCGTCTTCGTCGTCGTCGTCGTCTTCGTCCTCGTCGTCGGTGTCGTCGTCGTCGTCGTCCTCGTCGTCGTCGTCTTCGTCGTCGTAGTCTTCGTCGTCGACGCCAGCATCGGCATCCTCGTCGTCGGCGGCGGCGTCGTCGTCGTCGTCGTCGTCGTCGTCGTCGTCTTCGTCGTCTTCGTCGTCGTCGTCGTTGTCGTCGGTGTCGTCGTCGTCTTCGTCGTCGTCGTCGTCTTCGTCGTCGTCGTCGTCGTCGTCATCGTCGTCGTCGTTGTCGTCGTCGTCATCATCGAAGGTGTAGGTTTTCAGATATTGTTTGCCGTTCAGGCGCCTTTGGGCTTTGGATTCAAAGAGTTCGTCGAGAACGCACCCCATGAGGAGTCCGGGAGTCCTCGCCGCCGCCGCCGTCGGTCGCCGTCAGTCGTCGTCCGAGGCTCGCGAGGGTCGAGGGGCGGATTTTCAGGGTCGAGGCTCGAGGGTGGCCTGGACGGAGCTAAGACATCCGGCGATGTGATTTCGTGACTCTGCGGCACCAAAGGTCCCGACCCCTTTCCGGGGGGCAGCGTTTCGTCCTGGATCCATTTCTGATGGCCCCGGGTCCCAACGATTGGCCTTGAGAGGCCGAAGTGGAGGAAAAGCGCCAGGATTGACAAGATAAATCTCGTTAGAGATCTGGGAGGTCTTCTGGCGAGGTGATCGGGGTCTGAGGACCAGGCGCCCAGGCCCGGATGCTTTCGGACGTTCTCATCGACCACTCTTTGGGCCTCTGCATCCAGAGACCTCTGAAGACCTCTGGATATCCGCACCGCATGATGTTCAGGAGGGGAAAGAACACACAGACACAATTAATCGTCGATTCCCAGAAAATATGGGAAGTGGGGGGGAAGACAAAAACCCAGAAAATATAGGAAAATATGGGGAATCTTTTTATTTGTGTGTATTTATTTGTGTGTCCTGGGGCCCCTTCAATGATGTCTCAAGGGCATGTCTGAGGTTCTTGGGATCTGGAGTCGGCGACTCGTGGCCCGTCGCCTCCTGCATGGTCTCTCCCACGCTGTCGGCCGCACAGTCGCCCGCGTGGTCTTCTTCTATGATCTCCTGCAAGGTCTCCCGTATGGTGTCCGATTTGCTCCCCCGTGTGCTCTTCCGTATTGTTCGGGGGTGGACAGAACCCCCAACAGTGACACGTCGATTAGTGAATTGTCCGTTTTCGGTTCTCGAGAGGGCGCCGCGGCCGTTATTTTCCAGGCTTGCGCCCGCCAGGCTTGTGCCTCAGGTCGTTTTCACTAAACCACGTTTTACTAAAAGGGGGTCTGTCCATCCCCGATGTGTGATCTCCAGCAAGGTCTCCCGTATGGTTTCAGACTTGCTCCCCCGTGTGCTCTTCCGTGTTGTCTCCCGTGCGGTCAATTGGACCCCCCGCACGGTCTTGGTCCGTGCGTTCTTCCGTATGATCTTCCGCATGTGCAGCATAGAGCATAGTATCATTCTAGACGCTTCGCGTAACCCCACCAGCGGGACGACTCGCCGTGTGCGCTTTCGCCCGCGGCCGCGACCAAAAAAAAGTAACCCCACCAGCCCATCCAGAAACGATGCCTAGGCGAGTTGCCCTGATCAGAGACGTGGAGGAGCATGCAGCAGTGGAATAGCGGGCTGGGAACGGCGTCATGCCCCAAGAGGAGGGGGATTGAGGAGGAATCGGAGGAGGAGGGGAGGTGGATGGGGTAGGAGGACAAGAGAGTAACAGGCGGAGGAGGAGGAGGAGGAGGAGGAGGAGGAGGAGGAGGAGGAGGAGGAGGAGGAGGAGGAGGAGGAGGAGGAGGAAAGGAGGAGGAGGAAAGGAGGAGGAGGAGGACGAGCAGAGTGGCCAGAGGCTTCTTGGATGCCTCTTGGAGTCTTTTCGGATGTCTCTTGAAAGCTTCTGTGAGTCCTCTTGGAACGTCTGAGGGGCCTCTTGGCGGTCGGGTGCCTCGGCGAAGCCTCTTGGGGCCCTCTTGAGAGCCTCTTACCTCTTGGAGGCCTCTTGGAGTCTCCTGGGCGCCTCTTGGGACCCTCTTGGAGCACTCTGGCGAGCCTCGGGGGGCCATCTTGGGGCCATCTTGGAGATCGATCCAAGGAGGAGGGGGAGGAGATCCCGGCGGATGGCAAGTCCGCCTCTGACAAGCCCCGTGGCCCTTGGACCTCCTACAGTGCCAATGACGTCCAATGACGACGTCGCTGCAGGATTTGGATTTTGACCACAGGCTTCCCGGCGGATGGCAAGTGCGCCCCTGACAAGCCCCGGGGCCCCAGGACCTCCTACAGTGCCAATGACGTCCAGTGACGACGTCGACGGCGTCGACAACGACGACGTTGACGACCACGACGTCGACGACGACGCCGGACGACGATGACGACGGACGACGCCACGGGCGACGGACGATGGACGATGGATGATGGACGACCGACCACCGACGACGACGACAAAGGACGACGGACGACGGACGACGACGGACGATGGAGGAAAAGCGTCGGACGACGGACGACGACGACGGATGACGGACGACGTTTTCCCGACGGACGACGGGCGACGACGACGACGACCGACGACGCCGCCATCGACGTTGACGACGACGACGGACGACGAACGACGAACAACGGACGATGGACGGAAAGTGACTGACGACGGACGACGACAGATGAAGGATGACGGACTACGGACGACGGACATCGGACGACGGACGATGGACGATGGACGGACGACGGACGACGGACGACGGACGACGCACGACGCACGGCGGACGATGGACGACGGACGGACGACGGTCGACGGACGACGGACGACGCACGACTCACAACGCACGATGGACGACGGACGACGACGACGACGACGACGAGGCGACGACGGCGACGACGGACGAAGAGAATGACGACGACCGACGGACGGCTGACGACGGACGACGGACGACGACGACGACGACCGACGACGCCGCCATCGACGTTGACGACGACGGCGACGGACGACAGACGACGGATGACGGACGACGACGACGACCGACGACCGACGAATGACGACGGACGATTGACGACGGACGATGGACGACGACGCGGACGACGCCTCACGACGACGGACGACGGACGATGGACAAAGACGGACGACGGACGACCGACGACGCACGACGCACGACGGAAAACGGACGACGGACGACGGACGACGCGCGAGGCACGGCGCACGACGCACGACGACGGACGACGGAGGAGGGACGACGGATGACCGACGGTGCACGACGGTCGACGGCTGACGGACGACGGGCGGGCGACTGACGGTCGACGGACGACGACGACGGCGACGGACGACGCCGTCGACGACGACAACAAGGATGTTGACCACGACGACAGCGACCGACGACCACGACCGACGCCGGACGTCGGGCGACGACGACGACGACGAAGACGACGGACGACGGACGACGGACGGCGGACGGCAGACGATGGACGACGCACGACGCCCGACAGACGACGGACGACGGACGACGGACGGCGGACGACGAATGACGCACGACGCACGACGCACAACGCACGACGGACGACCGACGACGGACGACGGACGAAGCACGACGCACGACGCACGACAGAACATGGACGACGGACGACGGACGACGGACGCCTCGCGACGCGGGACGCACGACAGACGACGAGCGACGGACGACGGACGACGGACGACGAACGCTTGACGACGGACGACGGACGACTGACGACGATCGCCGGACGACGGACGACGGACGACGGACGACGGGACGCTCGACGACGGTGGCGACACTGACGAGCATGCCAGACGCTGGACGCCTGACGCTGGGCGCCGAACGCTGGCGCCGACGCCGACGCAGGTTGCTGAACGCCGATGCCGCAGACGACGACGGACGACGGACGATGGAGGACGCACGACGGACGACGGATGACGGACGACGGACGACGGACGGCTGACGACGGACGACGGGCGACGCACGACGACGACGAAAGATGATGATGATGACGGACGACGGACGACGGACGATGGACGGCGCACCACGGACGACGGTTTACGGACCACGGACGACCGACGACGGACGTCGTCGACGACGACGACGAGAATGGACGACAAGGACGACGTTGACGACGACGACGACGACCGACGATGGACGACCTTGGCGACGGACGGCGGACGACGGACGACGCACGACGCCGCACGACGGCGGCAACGATGAGGACGCCAGACGCTGGGCGTCGAACGCCGACGCCGATGCCGACGCTGGAGGCCACACGCCGGGCGCCGCTCCCGCCGCCTCCGCTTCGGCGCAGGAGCTCGACGTCGTGAGCGCCGCGAGCGGCAGCACCACGCGCGGCAGCTTCTCGGGGCCGCCGGGGCGCTTCATGAAGGCCTCGGAGATCGACACGCTCAGCGAGTGCTCCACGAACGCGCGCGCCTCGTCCCCGCGCCGTGCGCGCGCCGCCCCGCGGCGCGGCACTCCCGCGGAGCTGTGTCTGCGAGCCCGAGGTCTGCCGGTCAGAAGAGCCCCCCCTTTCGTTCCGTTTTCAGCCTTCCTCATGGCATTGCACGTCGGTTGCATGCACCGCCAGCGTGCGCGGCCAGGGGCAGTTTTGTCGATGATCGGCGGAAAAGAGGGGGGTGATGACTAGGGGGGGGATATCATGGCGGGGGCCATGATATCTCCCCAGATCTCAAGGCGCCTCTTCTTATTGTAGTGGCCTTCGGCCAGTGCCGCCGATCTGGGGCGCTCCAACCGATGTGATCCTTCTTCGCCCTCGTCCCTCCTCTCTTTTTCCCTCCCCTCCTCTCACTCAGCATTTATCCAGTGGCCGTCGGCCTATCCCGCCACCGTGCGTGGGTGGTGGGTCAGAGGCCTCATGGATGCTGGTTGGGATCTCGTGGTTGGCTGGGACTTCTGGGGGCCTCTTGGGCGCCTCTTGGGGCTTCTTGGGGGCCTCTTGGGCCTCTTGGGGCCACTAGAGGGCCTCTTGTGGGTCTCTTGGGAGCCTCTTGGGGCTTCTTGGGGGCCTCTTCTGCGCCCCTTGGGGCCTCTTGGAGGCCTCCTCGGAGCCTCTTGGTGCGGGAGGGGTGGTACTCGAGTTCGGAACCCCCTCGGAGGCCACGATCCTTGTGAGGGGTGTCAAAAAACGCATCCGCCGGAAACTCGCACCCCCCCCCCCCACCCCCCCTTCCCCGGCAGAGCCACCCCGGCAACCCCCCCAGAGGCTGAGGCTCAGCCTCGAGGCTGTAGCTGAGACTCCTTGAAACTCACACGCCGGATCGGCGGATTTCATTACGTCCCTGACGCCCCCGCTGGGCCGCGCACATGCCGCCGGTCATGATTTGCACCCCCCCCTCTTGGACACCCCCCTCTTGGCCGCTCCCGAAGGACGTGAGTTGAGCTGGCCCAATGTGCGTTGTCCTCCCCGCTCAGCTCTGCCGATAGATAGCACTCAGCCTGTGCCGGCCCGCATCACACTGCCGGCGACTGCCTGCGTCGCACTGAAGGGCTTCGGTGGACGAGCACACGGTGGCACTACGGTAGAGGGAAACAGTTACTGAACACTCCCTCTCCCCCCCAAAGTCAACGTTCGCACGCGCGGGGGAGGCTGCGGTCGAAGTGCATCTCATCAGACCCACCGCCAACTTTGAACATTTGGGGGGGAGGCGTTGACGGACGGATGTGGCATGAGTGTTCGCTAATTTGCTCCGAGGCCTGTAGCACACGTTCTGGGGAGCATCGCCTTGGGCACTCTTGGTGTGTAGGGCCTCCAGGCCGCTGCACGCAGCCTGCCTCGGCCCGGCCGCCTGGGCGCTCTCCTCGACGACGGTGGCGCCCTCTGGCGGTGGGAGGCGCTGGGCAGACCGGCTGCGTCTGCCGATTCGCTGCCCCCCCCTGCAAGGCCGCCCTCGAGGGCGCGGAGTTGTGCCAGCTTCGCGCTTCGCGGCTCTGCTCCGACTCCTCCTCGTCCTCCTCCTCTCTCAGGAGGGAAAAAAGCACAGACACAACGAATCCTCGATCCCCCAGGAGATAGGGGAAAACGTGGGAAGTGGGGGGGAAGACAGAAACCCAGGAAATATGTGTATTTTTTGTGTGTCGGCGCTCCTCCTCCTCCTCCTCCTCGAGGTCCTCCTCCTCCTCCTCCTCCTCCTCCTCCTACTCCTCCTCCTCCTCCTCCTCCTCCTCCTCC